GCGGTTATTTTGTAGATCATGTAATTATCGAAGAATCAACCCTTTAGAAAATAAATCAAGTTATTATAATTAATTTTTTTTTTGGTTGCGGTATAAGATAAGCAATTTTCCTAAACCTTTAATTTTCTCTATTAGAAGCTCAGATCAAACAACTAATTTAACCTTATTATTGAGGGAGTAAATAATAATTTTAAAATACAGTAACAGTAAAACATTTTTGTGAAAAAGCATATAAGTGCAAGAATTTTTGGAGTGAAGAGAAGATAATAGTGTTCGAACTTTCACTAATTCTATGAATGCAAAAATAGAGTGCATGGAAAAAAAAAATACAAAAGCCAGAAGCTTAACTTGAGATTTTATCATTAATTTAAGTTGTTTGTAAAATTGAAAATCTTGGTTTCATTTTAGATAAATCTACTTACCGTAGTGGAACATGAAAATTATGCAAATTACTCTCTCCTATTACACAAAAACATTTGTCATTTGTTCCCTCCTAATAAGTTTACTATTACTAAATGTATATGGTAATAGTATTGAGGTAAATATTAATAGTGCTAATCAACCCAAGTAATTCAAATGGAAAAAATTAAGGGTATGCTTGGTACTTGAAAGTATAACAAATAAGACATTTTCATCTTTAATATTGGAATACACCTTACCACAAAAGCAATAATTTTATGATTGCTTTTCAATGTTTAATAGCTTGATGAAACAGAAGCCATAACATTATTAAGTGTTTCAATATAGAATACACCATTTTTTTTTAATTATTTCGTCTCTGGGCATAATTTTAATGTTGAATAGCTTTTGCGAAACATATAATTATTTTTTATTAAAAATCATTGTGTAGGTCGTGAAAGACTCTTCGGATTAATCAAGCTGGAAGTTCTTGATTTTGCATCTAATGATGGGATTATCGATGATGATATTCTATCAGTGCTAAGTGAGTTTTCTTTTCGAAAGTGTGATATATTGTTTTTAGGTCAGAAGACCTTTAAATATCTTTACTTGTGTTTTTCGACAGATCTGAATCATTTTATCAATTTAAAGGAGCTCGACCTAAGTTTTAATGAATTTAGAAGCTTGGGTACTACTTATGGTATATCATCTCATGTCGTTATTTATCCACATTCATTATTAGTTTCCTTCTCTTTCATTACTTCACTTGTACCTTATTATGTATGATCAAAAGCATTCTTGGTATTTTGCTCCCAGGCCCTCCCTTTCACTAAATAGTAGTTTGTTGTTTATTAGATGTTATAGTGTAACTTATTGTGGATTTGGTTATACAAACAGGTCTAAAATATTTGACGGTCCTTCATTTACAATCAAATCACTTTAATAATAGCATTTTCTCCTCACTTCACGGGCTATCATCACTCAAGTCTCTAGATCTCTCTTACAATAAACTAAAAGGAACCATCCAAATGAAAGGTTAGTTCCACAGTTTAGGACTCCTTATTTTTCTTATTTGTGTCTAGCAAAACTGA